GCCCTTCGTCCTCGCGGCCGCCGCGCGTGCGTCTGGTCCCGCCAGCAGCTGGAGCCCGTGTGCCGGCGTCTCTGCCGCGAGCTTCTGCTCTCCAGTTGCAGCCTTTTTAAGCAGTAGAGTCGAGCCGGGCTCGGTGGCCCAGCCTGTGCGCCCGTGCTTTGGGGGCGGCGGTGAGGGCATGGCCTGCCCGCCCGGGCAACTTGGCGAGCCCTCGGCGCCACACTCAACCCGAAAACCAGCCGGGCGCGGCCGCGCGCGCCTGGAGTTCCGGCTCCTCGGAAGGACCGCCGGAGCCGGCGGGTCGAGGCTGCGGGGCCGCGGGGGTACAGGCGGTACCGGCGGAGCCACCCGGCCCAGCCTGGAATTTGCCTTTTAAAGCGGTTTCCTTTGTTAAAGACAGAGTCTGCAGCCAGGCTCCTGGGCTCAAGCCGTCCTGCCTCAGCCTCATGAGTAGCCAGGATTAAGGCATGTGCCACCCTGCTCAGCTGACTAAAAAAATTCTCTTTTTGTAGACACAGGGTCTCCCCATGTTGCTTGCCCAAGCTGATCTTGAGCGCCTGACCTCAGGCGATCCTCCCACCTCAGCCTCCCAAAGCCCTAGGATTATAGGTAGGACCCACGGCACCCAGCCCTTTCAGGGTTTAGGTTTGCAACAAAATGGAGTCAGAGGCATAGAAATAACCATACACCTTCTTCTCCTGTTATGGTTTGTTTTTGCTGGTTTTTATTCGTGTCATTGCCTTGTGTCTGTGTAGTTTTGTGTGTGTGTCAGAAATCATTTTAGAAATAACTCGAGGCCTAGGATCATACGTATCTTCTTCCAGAAGGTTTTGTGTTTGCTTCTGTCAGAGGCCTGGGAAACACTAAGCAGCTGGAGTCATTCACGCCCAGTGTCTCTGAAGTGAAGCTGCAATTCCTGGTGGAGCCTGCCGAGTCTGGCCTCCTTTTAATCTCGGAAACGCAGTATTTGGGGTACTGACCCAAAGCGGGTTTATCATGGTTCTGTGCCTGTAGCCTTGGAGGTGGGTTACAGTAAGTGCCTCTCGGCAGAGCCTCCAAGACGCCCCAGCCCTTCCTTGGAAAAGCAACCCAAGTGCCTCTGTCCTCCCGGTTCCTGCAGCCTTCCCTGTCAGGCTAGCTCTGCCTTCGAGCAGATGTTTCTGATATCTCCTCCGGCTTTTGAAAGCTGGCCTCAGCAGTCGGGCTGGCGCAGATGACCCATTCCGCCTTATTCAAAGGGAAAGTCTAACCCCTTCGTTTCATGTCTGAAACACACACACACACACACACACAGGCGTTCCTGTGTCCTCGGGGGGTGGGTTCCAGGACGTCCTGTGGACACCGGAGTCTGGATTCTCAAGGTCCCCCGTTCGCCCTCGGTGTCTGAGTGTCGCCTCTGGAGTGTGGAGAGAGGGCCGACTCTGTGTGTGTAGCTTTGCCCGTCGAGGGAGTGGAAAGTATTTCATCGTTGCAGTGCGCGTTACTTTGATTTATAGTAAGATTGAACGTCTTTCTCTCTCTCTCTCTCTCTCTCACACACACACACACACACACACACACACACACTTTTTCTTAAGTCAATCTATTGGCCCTACTTCTAGGGATAGTTTTCCTTTTCCATCTCTAGCGTGTTATATCTTGATGCTGATAGTCTGTGTTGCAGATACTTTCTCCCAGTCTTCTACCTTCCGATCAGGTCTGCATCACACAAAAGCTTTTTGTTTTGCTTATTTTTGTTTCTAGGGGCTGGGTCTCACTAGGGTGCCGGTGATGGGCTTGAACTCCTGGCCCAGGTGACCCCGCCTCCGCCCACCTCCTGAGTAGCTGGGGCTCTAGTGTGTGCCTCCACGCCCAGGCAGAGCCTTTGGCTTTGTGGGTTTCCAGCCCTGAGTTCTTTGTGGCTTCTGCGTTTTGTGTTCTGGCTGGAAGGCTGGCAGGGCAATAAGGACACAGAGTCTGTACCTGCCTTTAGGTCTTCACTTCTCTCGGACTGGCTTTGTGTGTGCGGTGCGGGACTAGTTTCTCGGAGAGCCGAAGAGAGTGCTGGGACGGGGCTGCTGCATTCCTCGCCCGCAAGCCGTCTTCTCTTCTCGGGCTCCGAGGAAGGCCGCAGGCCTCATGCCAGCCTGGGCGTCGAGGCTCTCCCGCCCCTTCGCCCCGCTCCTGCCTTTGGGAAGGCCGTCTGGGGCTCCTCCCGATGATGCGGAGTTGAGGGGGTGGTTACAAGGGGGCCGTCATCGATACCGATGTTGAGGGCCAGGGACGACGTGCAGGCCCAGTTCCTCTTGTTGTAACTGGTTTTTGAAAGTGAGAGCGGTTCAGGCCGACTCGGTGGCGCACACCTGTGATCCCGCACTTTGGGCGGCGGAGCTGAGAGGACCGCCTGAGCCCAGAAGTTCGAGACCAGCCTGGGCAGCCGGGCGAGACCTCATCTCTCCAGCCAGTCAGAAGAATTAGCGGAGTGTGGTGGTGCACGCCTGTGGCTCCGGCGACTGCACGGCTGAGGCTGTGGAGGGCGCGAGCGAGAGCCGGACCCCCCACGCGGCAGTCGGCAAGCCAGAAAGCCGCAGGCGCTGCCCGATCCCACACGCCCCAACAGCCCGTGGCAGTCCAGAGGCGGCGG